ATACGTACTCTGCGGGACTGACGCCATTGTCGCTCCTACCTACTGCGCGTAACCCTAGCAGCACCGTAGGCAGTTCATCGAGCCAGGACGAGTTATTAATGAGGCGGGCTGTTAATGCTGACTTCATGGATCTGTGCCAACGCTCTACAATACCATTACTTTGGGGGTAGTATGGTGTAGTTCGAAGTTTCGTTATACCCATGTACTTCATTAATTGAGCGAATAACGAGCTCTCAAATTGCCTCCCTTGGTCACTCATCAGCCTGTCAAGACAACCGAACCTACTGATACACGATTCGTAAAATGCAGTTATATCTTTAACAGGAATAGCCTCCGGCCACCGCGTGCAACGGTCAATCATAGTGACGAGGTATTTGTGCCCTTCTCGCGATGTTGGTAGCGCCCCCACGATATCGATGTGTACATGTTCAAAGCGATCACAGGCTGGAAATTGTTGCAAGTTCGATATCGTGTGTCTGTTGACTTTTGATTTCTGACATTGAATACACGTTTTGGCCCATCTGCCGACATCGCGATTTAAGCCTGGCCAAAAGAAGCGTTGTGCGACCAATTAACGCGTTGCTCGTATGCCTGGATGACTGACGTCATGTACTGCCTTGAACGCGAGTTTTCTAAAATGTTCGGTTACATACGGTCTACAATTGTCAGTCGAAATTTCACAATAAATATCTGTATTACTATTTGGAACATGATATTTCTTTAAGCAAATGTTGTTATTTCCTGCGCTCAATAGTTGTGCAAGCTCGGCGTCAGCGTCTTGTGCGATCGCTAATTCCGAGAAGTCAAGTACAGTGGGGCAGATTATTTCAATACGCGATAGTGCGTCAGCTACTGTATTGTTTTCGCCTTGTATGTACCTAATATCTGTTGTAAACTCGCTGATAAATAACAATTGTCGCGTACGTTTTGGCGTTTCACAATTGCTCTGTAGTTTAGTAAACGCGTAAATTAAGGGTTTGTGGTCTGTAAAAATAGTTAACTGATTGCCCTCGAAAAGATAACGAAAATGTTTGATTGCCATAAAAATTGCTAACAGCTCCCTGTCATACGTAGAACACTTTTGTTGAGCTTTTGTAAACATCTTAGAAAAGTATCCTAATGGCTGCCATGTACCATCAATTTCTTGTAGCACGGCTCCTGCACAGGTGTCTGAGGCGTCAGTCATGAGTGCTAAGGGCACGTTCGCCTTAGGGTGGGATAACATTACCGCATTCCTTAGTCCTAGTTTACATTGTTCAAAGGCTTCCTCTGACTTACTATTCCATTGAATAACAGTCTTATCGTTCTTTTTTGCACCTTTCATGTATTCATTGAGCCTCGACTGATGGTTAGCGGCGTTTGGAATGTTAGCACTATAGAAGTTAATCATACCTAAAAACCGTCTCAGTTGGTCTATAGTTTTGGGACGAGGAAATTCTAAGATGGCCTTGATTTTGTCGTCTAGGGGTCGAATACTCCTAGTAGAGACCTCGTATCCTAAAAACTATGCTAGACTTACCGAATTCGCATTTAGACAGGTTGATGGTGATGCCAAACTGCCTAAAACGCTCGAAGACCTGCCTGAGATGCCTTTTGTTTTCCTCTATAGAGTCGCTCGCTATGATGACGTCATCGACGAAACTGAATAGGAAGTCTAGGCCTTGCAATACCGTATGATTCATAAAACGTTGGAATGTTTGACTCGCGTTTCGTAGATCGAAAGTCATACGCGGGAACTCGAACAAACCAAAGGGAGTTATGATTGCAGTTTTCTCGATGTCCTCTTTTGCTACTTTGACACAATGATAAGATTTGTTTATGTCGAGTTTTGAGAAAACTTTCTTACCTGCTAGCACGTACGTGAAATCGTGCAGCCGCGGTACGGGGTATCGGTCCGGCTTGGTGATAGCGTTTAGTCGCCTGTAGTCACCACAAGGCCGGATAATATCCCCATTTTTCTTCGCCACTACATGTAGCGGACTTGCCCACGCGCTCTTTGATGGTCTGCAGATTCCCATATCCTGCATAGACCTAAATTCCTCCTTTACCTTGTGGTACCTGTTAAGGGGCAGAGGTCTAGCGCGTGCGTGTACGGGTGGTCCCGTAGTTTCTATATGATGCAGTATTTTGTTATTATCGGTAGCAGCGTCGTCATCCCTATACGGCCTAGGTTTAGTGATATCTGAAAACTCCGATAACAACAAGTGATATGGGTGCTTGCCGTCTACAATGCTGACAGAGGGTTTCGCGCATTTTATCATGTAACCGCTTGCTATAAATTTTGACTCTTTATCTATTAGTTTCAGTGAATTCAGATCTACTAGTAAATTTGTAGTGGCGTAAAAAATCTGCTCCTATGATTGGTTGTTTGACATTAGCTACGATGAAGGTCCATTTATACGGTTTCTTAAGGTTAAGATTTAATTCTAAATTTCTTGTACCATAAGTTTGAATTTCAGAGCCATTTGCCGCATATAATTTAAAGTTAGAACTATCGCTTATACTGTATGATTTTCTGGTAACAGGTAAGACGGAAACATTAGCACCAGTATCTATTAAAAAACGCATACCCGTGTTGATGTCCTTGATGCTTAGTCGATGGTTTGACATGTCGATGCAGTCCCCCACTTTAGGCTGCACCGCTGCTAGTTTCCCGACTGGCGTTTCTCCGATGACGTGGCGCCACCTTTCCAGCTGCAGGGTTGTTCACATCTCTTAGCTCTTTTGCCGAATCGAAAGTGGTAATAGCATACCCAATCCGTCGATCTCTTCCTGAATCGCTGTTGCGACGTGTAATACCTCCGTCTCCTTGGAGATGGTGAACGAGATCGAGCGTCGGACTTTTTCCTATTCTGCCTGTCTGTGTGCATATCGTCTATCCTCTTGCTTAGTTTCGATATTTCTGCTACTAATGCGTCGGTGCTCGATGTTGACGCACCGGAGGTGACTTCTGAGACTGTCGTTTGTCTCCGCTGCCTCCATGATCTTGTCCGCATGCTCAGCTAGCTTCTTAAGGTCGGTAACTTCACTGGTACTCAACACGGTACGTACTGCCGCTGGTAAATGTCCAATCCACAGGATGCGTAGGGTATCGTCTGGGAAATTTCCTCTGCTAAGGTCCTTCATTCTTCGAAGCAGTTGCGACGGTTTCTGATCTCCCAGATCGATTTCCTTCAATAGTTTCCGAATTCTCTGACTGTCTGACTCTTCATAGACGCTAAGTAATCGCTCTTTCAGCGCTGCATATTGTTTATCTTCTGGCGGCTGAAGTATTAAGTCAGACACTTATTTGACGCTGTCTTTACTCAGCTTTGCGACCACTAAGTTGAATTTTTTTCTCTCACCTAGTTTCTGGTCTGCCACTATGACCTTGAATTGGCCAAACCATAGTTGCGGTTGGTCTGTCCAGAAATCCGGAATCTGCGTCTTGATGGTTATTTGGGCTAAATCACTGCCTTCTACTTTCACTGTGGGTTCAGCTGGCACTTGTGGTTGCATCATCTTGTACAAAGTTCGCGCTTACGATGCGCTTATAAATGTCCACGCAATTCACGCAACACGTTTATAATTTGCGTTCGGGGTCACCACTTTAGGGATCGTCATTAGGGGGATCCTTAATTGAGCACTACCTCTTCTGGTCGTGGGGTGCAGGGGGTTGAGAGAAACAACGGTGTTCAGATACCGGATATATTCACGTAAGCCCCCAGATAGAACCGTTCACTCGGACCAGTGCGCAGTAACTGTCCGTGCCTCGCATACTTCACGCTCTCACAGGTTTTTGCTTGCCTTGCACTCTGCCATACATACTTGCATGTGTCCCTACAATCTATTTATTTAATAAACCTAAAAAGGACAACGACCGCTACAATCAACTCGAAGCCATATTTATTAATACCAACTTAACAACAATATTACCCACCTAACAATAGTATTGTCAACCTTTTTACATAAAATATTACATTGTTACCAACAAAATGGTTGGTAATGGTGGGGAATTGCTTGGGAGTTACACAGGCTTTTTTTTTTAAGGGGGGAAAATCTTCGAATGGCTGCTCGGTCCCGCCTGGGTGAGGCGGGAGGGAGTGTCAGACTCTTACTGACTAAAAACCACCCCGTTCCTTCTCCTGCACGCCGAGCCGGAGCCCCGGTTACCCGTTAGGTTCTCCGCGACTAGGCTTAGGAGATCATTGTTCAAAGCTTTTTTAATGGGGAGTGGCCTGTCATATGACAAGCCTCTTGTTGCTGGCTTAAAATCAACATTTTCAATTGTTTTGGACACATATTTCTGTCGACGCTGTCTACTTCTGCCTACATTCTAATTCTATTCAATATAATCCTCATTAAATGTGCGTCTATTCTATGTACACCTCGAGCGCCGGTCATGAGTATACAGGATTGTGGAATAAAACGACGGCACTGTAAAAGAACACGATATTTATTGTAAAGTCACTGATTGGAAAAATCATACAGTACGATAATCAACACTTAAATTAAGAGGTATGTAGAATTGGGTAGTAGATGAAATGATACGGCAGTTATAAAGTCAATAATAAAACGTATATAATAATCAGACCAAAGGTTTATGAGTGTTATAAAGGAGCGAGGGAGCACACGCGATGACCGCTATTAATGTACTGAATACTCGACTAATATTAATTGGACCGTGTTGTGCCAAATCATACCAATCCACATCAACCTTATTCTGAGATATTTAAGTTTTAAGTTTGACATGAGATAACTATTGTTTTTTATTTAAATAACTCTCCAAAATATATATCAGTATGAAGATATGGAAGTTCTGTTTTAGATTAAGATACAAACAATCAATATTTAAAGTAAAAAAAAAAAGAAAAGTGTATTTTCTCACTTGGTATATTTTGACATAATAGGATTTCTCATACTAATGATAATTAATAAATAAGTCCAAAATGTACCAATAACATTTTCTTTTGTATCTATTTTTTTTTCAATATTTTGGGGTTTACAATCCACCTAAGTACTAAATAAATAAACCATTTATGGAAAATAATAAAAAGAATGTCATTTATTATGTTATTATATTCATACAAAATTATGAACAACAAGATCATTCTTGTGGTTCATGGCTCCTCGACTAGAGTAGTTATAGATGATATTCTATTGAACAATACAAAAAGTACAAATATTATTTAAAAAAACTGCTTAAGGTAACACAGTACAAACAGTATTTACTAAAAGAAATGAACTTAATCTTAAATAAACTATGTCTCTTCTAATTCAAAGTCGGGTATAGTCCCGTACCCATCCAAATCATCTAGAATTTGATCGTTGCCTCGTAAATTCTCGTAAAAAGCACGACAATCAGCGGGAATAAGATGCTCCATGGACCGGAGATCGTTGAGTTTCGCTTGCGCAATCTCTTTGCCATCTGGCCACAATTGAACCAATTCGCTCATGACTATTTCAACTTCCTCTCCTCCACCTCTTCCTAATCTCTTTTTGATAAAAAGTTCGTCAAATTCGCTTTCAAAATCTATCCGCATAAATATAGAATATCTGAAATCTTTTTTTAACAGTATTTCTTTAGTCATAAGCCAGTTTACCTTTTTCTTATTTCTGAAAACTTTTCGGTTGACAATTCCCTGTTCAATATTGCTGCGCCCTAGAAACTGTTCATTTTTGTAGAAAAATTCTTTGAAAGTCCCATACTTGAGGCATCGGCGAGTATTTTTATCGGGCAAGTCATCAAATTCCTTCAAATAGTAATCTTCGTACATTTTACGAACCGTCATTCCAGGTTGCAGGTAATCTGCGTCGGTAATGTGATTTATATTTCGGTAGTTTATTAATGACCTCTTCAGCTAACTTGTATTCTTCTGATGATAGTCCATTATTTTTACCTCCTGTTACTCCTCTTTGGTCTGTTAATGAACCAATTCGCATTTTCTTTAGAGCTGTGTCAACTTTTTGTGTAGTTATTTGTAGTGTCTTCAAAAACATTTCCCTGCAAACTATTTTACCTCCCAAATTATAAACCCGTGTGAACTCTTTTGGCTTAGATGTTTTGTTAGGATCAGGTTGGTATGTACGTTTTTTATTTATTTCTTCTACACACTTAGTTATGTAAAGCATCTGCGCAGTATACGAGCCTAAATTCATATAATTATTAAATTCCTTCCTTCTTTCTTCTGTCGATACTAAATTAGAACACATTTTCTTGCAAGAGCATTGCATATTCCTAAACTCTTTGGGTTGAATTAAATTATGTTTTCGGTCGGTATAAGGCTTATTATCATACTTTCTTTTTTTGATTTCACACCTTGGGAAAATGCCTATGCGTTTTCTGCCTTTCTTGGGTCGTCCTTTTCTAATATCAATCTCTTCATTTTCCATAACACCTAAGTCCTGCTCACAATCGTTCTCGTTATCTGCTCTTTTTTCTACATCAGCACGTTCTTCGTTTTCTGCGCAAATATCTTCCTCTATTTTATCGAAATCATCTTGTTTATTTTTAGGCATTAAGTGACCCTCTTTCTTTTTTAGGCATTAAGTGACCCTCTTTCTTAGCCTCTTAGCCGTTCTATGAAGTTCATTATTTTTACCTCCTGTTACTCCTCTTTGGTCTGTTAATGAACCAATTCGCATTTTCTTTAGAGCTGTGTCAACTTTTTGTGTAGTTATTTGTAGTGTCTTCAAAAACATTTCCCTGCAAACTATTTTACCTCCCAAATTATAAACCCGTGTGAACTCTTTTGGCTTAGATGTTTTGTTAGGATCAGGTTGGTATGTACGTTTTTTATTTATTTCTTCTACACACTTAGTTATGTAAAGCATCTGCGCAGTATACGAGCCTAAATTCATATAATTATTAAATTCCTTCCTTCTTTCTTCTGTCGATACTAAATTAGAACACATTTTCTTGCAAGAGCATTGCATATTCCTAAACTCTTTGGGTTGAATTAAATTATGTTTTCGGTCGGTATAAGGCTTATTATCATACTTTCTTTTTTTGATTTCACACCTTGGGAAAATGCCTATGCGTTTTCTGCCTTTCTTGGGTCGTCCTTTTCTAATATCAATCTCTTCATTTTCCATAACACCTAAGTCCTGCTCACAATCGTTCTCGTTATCTGCTCTTTTTTCTACATCAGCACGTTCTTCGTTTTCTGCGCAAATATCTTCCTCTATTTTATCGAAATCATCTTGTTTATTTTTAGGCATTAAGTGACCCTCTTTCTTACTTTTCTTTTTCACTATAGCTCTTGATGCCTGGTGTATATATTCAACTTCGACATTAATGGTTCGAGGACTTGATTGTTCTTCTAAATAATCACTGCTGTCAATTTCATCTTCGTCACCTTCGTAATTTGGATCTTTTACTGAATCGTCACTATTAAAACCATCCCCTACTAATGTTTGAAACAATTTTTTTGTTTGGGGCGACATAGACGGAATTGGCGATGCAGATGTTTCACTATTAAATGGTGATAAGTAAGCTGTAACATTTGAAACCCCTACCTTGGATGAAGAACATGCAGAAGAATTATTTTTTAATTTTAGCTCTTTAGGGGTGAGGGGTGAGTAAGCAGGTGCTTCAATGCTGCGCGGATCGTTCTGCAAGAGCTGTCCAGGACCAGGGGTTAGAGGAGAGTAAGCAGGTGCTTCAATGCTGCGCGGATCGTTCTGCAAGAGCTGTCCAGGACCAGGAGTTAGGGGTGAGTAAGCAGGTGCTTCAATGCTGCGCGGATCGTTCTGCAAGAGCTGTCCAGGACCAGGGGTTAGAGGAGAGTAAGCAGGTGCTTCAATGCTGCGCGGATCGTTTTGCAAGAACTGCTCAGAAGTTAGAAATGACTTAGCTGGTGTTTCAATGTAGCGTGAATCGGTTGTATTCAATGCTTGGACGGGGCAGCTTTCATTTGTAGAAAATATATCGGATTGGATTTCAACTTGTGCATGAAAATCTTCGTATCGGCTGCACAAAGATGGACCTAAAGCAGAAAAAAAAATTAGTCAGTCACATCAATTTCATCGTACCTTCACAAAATGTTTATTTAACACCAGTTCCAGCTATCTAACAATAATCGCGTATAATAATACTAACTTAAAGTAAAAATGTTTCAATATTATGAATTAGGATATTAATTTCAACTCGTCGAATGCAGTAATAGGTCTAAAGCCCCATACACACGTAACTGTTTATCGTAGCGATTATTCTGTGCAGTCCAGTTTGCGCAGTTTTATCGATCGTGTGTATGGAAAATCGTTGTCGATAATCGTTACGATTTCCCATACACACGATCTATAAAACTGCGCAGATTAATCTGCACAGATTAATCGCTACGATAAACAGTTACGTGTGTATGGGGCATTAGTATAGTACTTACTTGTACCTACCTAAAGTACTTACGGACTTACATTATTTTTATTACATATTATTATTTTACCATCATAATAATTAGACGTTTCGTCCTATATGCAAAAAAAAAAAATTACGTAAGACATTGTGAATATTTTAATTTGATTTAATATGTAGGTACGTATTAGGCAGGTAAAGTACTCAACAACCGAGGCGGTAAGAGATGCGCGGGCGATAGGCAAAGGCAAAAGTTTCCTAGCGCACGAAGCGGCAACGGGTGGTGTGACCCGTTGCCCCTGCCCCTTCGTTCACGAAACAAACTTTTGCAACGAGAAATAGGAATATTAATCTAAAAATTATCACTTATTGACATTAAACGGATAAAACGAAAGCTATTGCTTTCGCCGCTGACTAACAACAATAACAACTAGCGTCACATTTTGTAAGTAAAAGCTTGATCTATGGAACTGGGTAGTAAGTAGGTATAATTATTAAGTGACTCAGTAGGTAGGTACTTACTTTGTGGAGATTCTGGTACCGTAATATGCTTAATATTTAGCGACGTATCTGGCGAATTCGGTATGTCTGAAAAAAATAGTCACATGAAACAATCTGGATAAATAACTACCTATCTACAAAACACGTAAAGTATTTTATTAACTACTTACCACTTGAGTCACTATCAGAAGATTCGTATCCTATAACTGCACTTTTAAGCACTTTGTTGTATTCCATTTTTAAATATCTTATATTAATTTACAAAGCGAGTGTTGGTTAAGTCACGAACGTACACGAACGACTAAAACAGATGAATTTAAAAACTGACAGCTGATCTGACTGCTGCCACAGTATTGCCTGTGTAAAATAAATAAAAGGTGCGTTCAATTTTGATATTTTCAGCCGTTCTATGAAGTTAATAAGATAATCATTATGTATAGGTACTTACTAAAAAAAAGGTAATAAAACTTAATGTAATTTTTTTATCATTTTATACCAAACAACAACAACTAAACTTCTTGGCACATATTGGCAGAATTGTTTTAATACACAATTGTTGTATTACAAAGAGCATGGAATCTTCTGACTGATACATTGACCTGTATTTTATTGCCAAAATATACCAAGTGCTTTTGGTACATTCAAGCTATATTGTTTACGCTTAGGACAACATATACCAAGTGCTTTTGATATGTTTAACCAATATCGTTTGCAGTTTGCTAATATACCAAGTGCTTTTGGTACATTCAAGCAATATTGTTTACGCTTAGGACAACATATACCAAGTGCTTTTGGTATGTTTAACCAATATCGTTTGCAGTTTGCTAATATACCAAGTCATTTTGGTACATTCAAGCAATATCGCTTACAGCTTAAGGCGAGTTCCAAACGGCATGTCTTGAATTGACCAAAAAAAAAATGTTTATTCATATTGTGGGTTGGTTCCAGATACCTTTTATTTTTTAATAACTTCAGCTATATGTGTCAGATTGAAATCAAACTTAGCCACATGAATTTAGAGGTGATTTTACGTTGGATGATGTATATAACTCAATTTTGACGAAATTGTGGATTGGTATGATTTGGCACAACACGGTCCAATTAATGAAGTAAGGAAAAATGCACGGATAGTGCATTACCAGTGTATTGTTCCACCGTACATGCTCCCGGGCCAAAAAGATAAACAAAATCTATACAATGTCATCATCTAGTTTAAAGCGACACTTAAAGCTTTCTTACACTAATAATAGTTTTTGCACACACTTTAGAAACGTTTGTAGCGAATTATATACAGTACTTTTTGTACTACGAGAGTTCCACGATTCAAAACGACATTGCACGATAATTGATATGACACTGTTAAGAGTTTGTCTCGCGCTTACGGTGATTATTTATTTATTTTATTTATTTTAATTCGGGTAACCAACAGCTATAAAACAAATAATAAAATTTCAGAATATGCTAATACAAAGCCAATTATAGGTTTCCACGTCTAGCTATAGTATATCTTTACAGAGGTTTTGCGAATGCAATGCACATAAAAGGATAAAACATGGATAGTCATTCAAAAAAATTTAGGTTTAGTCGCCTACGCACCTTGGAACTGCTTGTAGTAAATGGATAAAGTCCTAAATCCTTGCACAATCTATTATAATTCCTACTCACTCGCACAATACAGGAATTTTGTCTATAATTTGAGGAAGAAGTTGGGACAGCAATTGGTGGGTTAAATCGAACAGACTTTTTCGGAACATGAAATGACAGCTTATGCAAAAGGTCTGAGCAATCGATTTCGCTATTCAGTATCTTGGCAAAATAAGTGCAATCCGCTATTCGACGGCGATTAATAAGTGGGTGGAGATGAAATTTTTTGCATAGTTCCATATCATTCTCCGATCGATACGGTATCTTCAGTCGAAAACAAAGAAAGCGAATAAATCTTTTTTGGATGCTCTCAATGCGGTCTATGTACTTGTCATAGCATTATATATACAAACTTGCACTTAATTCTACGGAGTTTACACAGTACCATGTCTTTGCACGATTATCACGAACACTTGCACAAATTTCACTGATAACGGAGAAACATACACCTATGTATCTCCGTTATCAGTGACTAATAATCACTGAAGGTTATTGATGTTGATCGCAACTTTGCCGATCCGCGATCCTGCTATAAATTTCGGTACGCTAGTATTTTTTTTTAAGTAAAACAATTTCCGCAGACATAGGCGTCCGCGCTCTTTTTTAATGTTTCTTATTTATTTAGTACATTAATTTTTCTATTTATTACAGCTTCACGTCCTCACTAGACACGGGTTTATAATTATAATCTTAAAGCTACGTGAGTCCATGTTGTTATTATTTGCTTTTTATTTTTTTTCTGTCTAAATCCTTTCACACTTTGCTGACATTTGTATATTAATATTATTCTACATTAATAATGTTCAATGTTAATTATTGGCTTAAGTGCTAATTTTATGGCTTGATGTAGGGTTTGGATGGATGAGGACGGGGGTAGAGGTTTCAGACTTCCAGATTTTGTTTAGGATGGGCTTGCCCTCTGCTGACCAGGGATTTCGCCAGTTTAAGCATCGCCTCCACGATGGGAGCGTCTCGATGTTGCATGGCCGTCTTTAGGTTGTAATCGACGACCAATTTTGTCTGGGCGTTCATTGCCTTCTTTATAAAGCGGCCTGTGGCGTCATCGGCGTCTTCAGTGTAATAAACGCAACTGACTTTGTGTCTTGACACCGCCACAACTGCGTGGGAGACGCTATCATGGATCTGAAGCCGCCTGGCTTTGGTGTTGATTATTAGAGCGCTGTCGCAGGTCAACCCCTGAGCCTCGTGGATGGTTAGAATTCGTGACCCTTTGCCGGACCCATATCCCTGGCTAGCAAGGGAAATCTTTTCCTCCTGCGTGTGGACTAGGAACAGGGTGTTCTGGTCAAGTCTCGGTATGGTCGCTTCCGAGTAACCTTCCACCCTCAGGGAGTGCACCGCGACGCCCTTGAGGAGTATATTCCAGGATATATCTCGCTCAGCGCGTACGCCACGTCCATGGGGTTGCGGTGTGTGCAGAGAAGCTCTAGGGTGATTTCAGCCACCATGTTTGGACGTGTGTATCTGAGCTGGAACAGGTTCTCCCTGTCCAGAAATGGCAGTTGATTCACGTCTCCAACAAGTACGACCTCACCCGCGCCGGACAGTTTTGCTGCCATGACTACGGCCCCAAAATGGTTCATCCACTATGCGAGCCTCGTCCACTATGATGCGGTGGCATTTGTTATAGGGCTTGAATCCGTTGGACAACATTGAGGCCATAGTGCGCACCTTTGTCTTTGTGCGTTCTCCAAGGCGGGGCTCCAGCACGTTCCTGAGATCTTTTGCGGCTTCGATCGTCGTAGTTACCGCCACGTCCCTTCTCTAGTCGAATTGTTCGACTATCCATGTTGTTTTACCGCAACCCGGGACCCCGTTCACCCACCTTATGTTGGGCACCGCCCATCCGTCTTGCAATGCCGGGAGTTCTGCGGTCCCAGAAGTGGCCTGAACCATTTCGAGGATCCTGTCCTCCAGCATTACTCTGGTGCATTTGGCGGTGACCACTATCGAGTCGCCCTTGGATGTCCTGAATTTCACTGTGCCTTTGCGTTCCGACTCCTCTTGATTCAGGCTCACGAAGCCGCTCGTCGCATTACATGCTGCCATATACAACCCATCATTTCTCCGACGATCACCTGGGATGTGGCGTTGTCGTACACGGCCGCCCCCGCCTCCTCGAGCAGTACTCTCAGCAGACCCTCCGTCTGACGTTGGAAGGTCAGCATAATTTTTCTGCATGTCATGAGATTGACCTCCTTGGTAGCTCTCATGACTGCCACGTACTCGAGGAAAGCGCTCTCCACGTGATCCGTGATGCCCGAATTCACTGCGAGGGTCGGTGGGCTGACGTGCCCTTTGTCGGCTCTTGTTGGTACAGGGACTGGCTTTTTCGGTTCTTCTGGTGTCCTTTTGAAGAACCTTTTTGAGGGCTGACTCCTGCTGTGGCTTGTACTCGGCAGCAGTGCATTGAGAAAAGTGCCTATGGCCTTCAGCCGACTCCTCGACCGGGCTCGGTTCTCAGGGCTGGTGGTTTTGGCCTGCTCCT